ATAATACTGCAATGCCCTCTGCTGGCTTAATGAAAGTTGTGTGTATGTATATGTATATATATATATATATATATATATATAATGCTGGTATGCAAATGAGGATAACCACATATGTGGTTAAATGCATATATTGTTGCTTGGTATTGTGTTGGAAAATATAATTTTGTATTATATAGTTCATGTATTAATTAAAATTGCTCATTTGCTAATGTTCTAAATATTTGTATTGTAAAAGGTTGTCACCACATGTTGAAGGACTAGTCCCCAAAGGCTACTCCTTGTCCAAAATAAAAAATGCCATTTCCAATCCTTTTGGAACTGTGTGGATTTTTAGGGATCCAAATGACAAAGTTTTGGGACCTGTTGGCTGGCTGCCTGAGCCCCTTAGCCCAGGGGCAAATGAAAAAGAGGTTGAAGCCTGAGAGATACAAGTGTCTTTATAAAGGCAAGAGCTATCACATTGCAGGCATAGGTGCTTAACTGCCTGGAAGGAAAGCTACAGAGGAATAGGCAGAGGGGACGATATCTGTCTGGAAGGAAAGAGCTCCAGAGACACCCCAAACACACTGATACAAACAGAGACACACATACAGATACACACACTGCCACGTGTACAGATGTAAAGACACACAAACACTGTCACACATACAGATACACACACTGCCACACATGCAGTTGCACAGACACACAGGTACAAACACTGCCACACATACAGTTGCACATACACACTGCCACATACATACATACTTACAGATGCACACACTGCCACACATACAGATGTACAGACACATATTCAAACACTGTCACATATGCAGATACACAGATACAATCAAACATACAGATACACACATGCAGATGTACAGACACACATACAAACAATGACACACATGTGGAAGCACAGACACACAGATACAGTGCCACACACAGATACAGACAAAGATATACACACATGCAGATACATTGACACACATGTAGATACATAGACACACAAATGTACAGTCACAGATACAATCACATACATACAGCTACAGACACAAACAGATACAAACTCTGACACACATGCAGATAAACAGGTACAATTACTAACACACACATATAGACACAAACACTGACACACATGGATACACAAACATACAGGTGCTCACACTTTCACACACACAGATACAAGCTTACAAACAGATACAAACAGCTGTACAAACAGATACAAACACATACAAATACAGACACACAGATGCAAACACTGACTCACATGCAAATACACAGACACATGTACTGACACACATGTAGATACACAGACACAAACACTGAAACATGCCGATGCACAGACATGCAGATACACATACACAAATATAAACACTGACACATATGCATGTGCATATGTGGATGCACAGTTGCAAACAATGACACACACAGATACAAACAATGGCACATCTTGACGCACATGCAGATACACAGACACACAGATACAAACACTGACACACTGACACATGCAGATACAGACATATACACTGACACACAGAGATACAAAGACTACACACATAAACGTCAACATTTTAGCCACTCTCCAGTTTCCTACCTTTTATTTGCCAGTGGCTTCTGCTGGCTGTGGCGGATGGGAGCTAAAAATCACTGTTTACTGGGCAAACCCATCTCACATCAGTTAGAAATCTTCCAGTAGAAGCACAAACTGTACACAATTAATACATGCAACCTAGAACTCTGTGTGCCTGGCTAATTGCTCTGAGGGGTAGGTTTAGAACTGTAGGAAATTTTACATATTGTTGAAGTTTTAAGTTACTTTCAGAGAGTTAGTGCAGAGGGCTCCTCTCCCAGTCCACGCACCTCACGGCTCGCAGCCTCCCCTCCCACGCAGTTTGATGTGAGTGAGCTGGGAGGAAATAATCTTGCTGCCACTTCCTCCCAGCTCTCCCTGCATGTTAGAAGAGTCCCAGTCGTGCTGCTAAAGCACCGCAGAGCACGACTTGGCCCTTCACGGCACATCTGTCGGTTGGCCCAAGCACTCGTTTGCACCGGCACCAGAACCAACATAACAAACGTTTTTGCGTACTCTGTACCCTGGGTAGTGAACCCCTGCCATAGAGGACAAGCTCTCTGAGGTCCATGAACAAGATAGTTCTTTATATGGATTATCTTTTCCTATTTAAACCACATCAGCCAGAGTATTTATGAGAAACTTTTGAATGCACACAGTTTTCATGGCTTTTCAATGAGAAGCGTTTGATTGGACCGATGTTTGCCTTCATGATGTAAAAAGGGGCCGAGCTAACCGATGTGGGTGCTGGAATAAAGGTAAGTAAATGATTAGTTTTATAAAATGTGATTATGTAAGGGGGCTCATTTAAAAGGGTTCTGTAATTTCCTAGCATTTTGTAATATTAAATGTTTCTGCATCACCTATCTTTAACAGATTTGTAGTTGTGAAGTCTGAAAACTAAAATGACATTTGAAATCCACATCTATATTCTGTAACTTGGTGCCTCCATCTTGACTCAGGCATTAATTGTTTTAAGTACTGTGATTTGCAACTGGCATTCAGCTTAGACATAGCAAACATGGAAGAGGAGAAATTAAACAATGTTTCTCCTCCGCATTTGTAATGTGTACACTGACCATGCCTGGACTGGAATGGATTATGATTTAAAAGAAAAGAAGGCATCACAAGAAAAAGGTTAACACAAGTTATAGGTGATTTTCTATTTAGTACTGTATGTTCTAGAAAAGTGATGTCAAAGCAGCATTGACCGCGAAGATCTCTCATGCATAGCTCACCTTCAATCACTAATAGAATAAGCCGAAAAGATGTAGCAGCTGACATTTCATAAGGGGAGAAAATAAGTATGCGCAAGGTCATTGGTAGTAATGTGAGCACTACTTGACAGCCCTGCATTGTGGCTCAAGGTTTTCTGTTGCAACATCCTAGGCAAAAGCTATGAGCTTACTAAAAAACAGCATTGCTCTCTCCCTGCTAACCATAAAAACCATAACAGGATCCCCACAACATTATTAAATTAATGCAGTGGTTAATCTCCATACAAATGGAAACGAGATCACTTTTGATATAACTTTTTGTTAAAGGATCACTATAGGCACTCAGACCACTTTAGCTTAATGAAGTGGTCTGGGTGCCAGGTCCCCCTAGTTTTAAAACAAAACACAAAATAGCCAATATATACAGTGCACCAGTGACACAAGGAAAAATATATTTTACCCTTGGAAATGCAGGTTATAGGAAGATTCCTCAAAGTACTTCTTAGATATCAATATAAACAAACCTAATCTGCAAAACATATAGACAAGGACCAAAAATAATGTAATATGTCCAGGTGCTCTGGAGACCATATATAGATGATGTACTTTTGATTTGGAAGGGAACAATACGTGAGCTACATAATTTTACAAATTTTATAAACCATAATGAAATGTCCTTGCTTTTTACTCCTGTGTTTGACAAAAAACAGATACATTTTTTAGATCTTACTATTTTTATAGATAACACACATATTAAAACAAAAAAGTTTTTTAAACCAACAGACGCAAATAGCTTTATAAATACAAGAAAAAGTCATCATCCCAACTGGCTTAAAGGCATCCTCAGAAACCAATTTACCAGATTGAAAAGGAACTGTACCAATCAAGAAGATTGTTTAGAACAAGCTAATCTTTTAAAATGCAAATTCATAGAGAAAGGCTATCATGGGAATTTTTTACATGAAGAGATAGAAAGAATAGGACAAATCAACAGAAATGAATGTTTAATAGAAAAAAAAAATCCGTGATAATTCATGTAGTAGCTACAGAATTTATTTTAATACCCAGTTAAATGCACACGCTTTTAAAGTGAAAAAAATAATTGAAAAGCATTGGACGCTTTTATTAGAAGACGATCTTTTAAAAGATGAATTGCCAATCAAACCAAAAGTCATTTTTAAGAAAAATAATAATTTAAAAAATATTTTGGCCCCAAGTACATTTAGACTCCAAGAAGAAGTAAAATCCAATGGAAAAAAAGGTTTGTTTTTTACTTGTGGAGCTTGTAAAAGTTGCAAATATAAATAGACAGAATCTTTAAGATCAAAAATTACATTATGTGCACCTCAACCCATGTGGTTTATCTTTTTGTTTTGAATATTTTTATTGTATGCATAACATAAGTTCATACGTCAAACTGTTTTGTAGTAAAGCAAGTGATTGCCCACGCAGGGGCCTAAGCATTGGTTAACACAGTATATACCTTTGGTTGCCTGCGCAGAGGCGGATCCATCTTAGCCTGTTCATCTTAACTTTTTTTTTTTTTATATTATTGATATTGATTCACAGTCAGTTGTTTTGTGCTCTATACTTTTATGTACTGTGTAGCCTTTGTAGTTCGGTTAGAGTGTTAAGTAGGTGTTTTGAGTTAGCTGGTGTGTGCAAGTGTTGTGTGTTTGCTGGTTAGTAGATGCAAAATTGTCGCCTGTGCTGAGGCAGGTTAATCTGCTTGCTAGTTAGATGCGGTCATTAAGCCATAATCGAAAGTACAGAAGCTTTTCCAGCTTTAAACATAACATAAGGAGCATATTTGTTTTTAGGCAGCTGTGCATTAATATATAATATGTGTTTGGACCTCATCATGTAGATGTTGTGCTCAGCAGGTCCCTGCGTGTTTTGCGTGTGTTAGGAGTTTTCGACTTTCTGTTGTGTCTGTTAGAGTCTGCATGTATTATTGACTGTGTCAATTTTCTCCATTGTTATCGTAATGCATTTGCAGGTAACATCAGTGCAAGTATTGAGGCATTGGTTGCCCGCGCAGGGGCATACGTTTTCCATACAGACATTTGTGAGCTTTTTGTCGCCTACGCAGAGGCTGGTTGGTTATTGCCTGCTTGATACAGTATATAGGTATCGATTTGTTTGCTTGCTGTGTCTATCTGCATGACTTATGGTGTGCCTTTGTTGCGTTCGCTCAGGCTTGTCTGGTTTTGGGAGTTTTTTATCGTGTGTTACCTGTGTAGGTTGTGCCTGCGGGCCCCGTCGTATCTGGTCCCTGGTTGCTCTGGTCCCGTGCTAGTTGTATCTCGCTTTTCTGCTGGTGGTGTTTGGTCTATTGATTTCCTGTTTGTGTCTCCTGTTTGTGTCTCCATATTAGAATGGAAATTATCTGATATTGTGCCATATCTTACTATGTATGTGTGTGGCTGCTGTCTGCTTGCTTGTCTGCGTGTCTGCGTGTCTGTTGCGCTGTGTAATTTAATGTTTCATTGCCGTGTGCGACTGGCCCCGTGTAGCTTTTGTCCGTGTAGTCAGTGTGGTATTCTGTTTAGCGTGCTAAGGTGCGTTTATGAGTAATCTAGTACATCTCAGTGGTTCGTGCGTTTTAACTGTGGTATGTCTCCCTATCTTATTGTGTTGTAGCCTGCCTGGGGGTCCGTGTTTCAGTGCGTATACATCAATTTTGTTCAGAGTATGGTTATTGGTTTGACAGCGAGGTTCTTTGGGTATACGTGGTTGTGTTTGAGCTACTGTTTGTCTCCGTGGGTGCTTGGCTTACCGTGGATGAGGTGGGGGGATCAGTTGTTACTGTCCTAACCGTCCTTGTTCCCGATTATGTATTTGTGGGTGTTCATTTGCGCGCTTCATGGTTGTTATCCTGTCTGTGTGTAGAGTGTTCGTCTCAGGTAGCGTCGGTCGAGGTCTTAATGTGGTGCTGTCTGGGTGCGGGTTAGGGTGGGATGGTTGGGGTAGTCCGCCTCCCGTGCCCGTCCGGTCCGCCGCGTCTCGCCGTCTTTGATTCGCTTCTCGTAGTGCTTTCTTCCTCGTCTTCCCGTCGACTTTCATGGCGCGATTATGTGATGTCTGAATGAGTCCGACGTAATCAGTCTCGTCCAGTGGAACCAGCGTTTGGTGTGGCGGTCTCTGAGGTTCGGAGTTTCTGCTTTCATGTCCTCGAATATCCTTGTGGCTTCCACCTCCTCTATCCACTTTGTTATGGGTGGTATGTTGGTTTGCTTCCAGTAAATAGGGATAGTCACTTTGGCCGCGTTTAGGAGTCTGGGGATAACCGATCTCTTGTATGTTGGTGTCGCCATAGTTGTGTGGTGTAGTAGGAAGGAGGCTGGGGATTGTGGCAGGTGCTCATCTGTGACCTCCTGTATTATCGACCGGATTCTGTCCCAGAATGGTCTAATGCGGGCGCATGTCCACCATATGTGCGTGAACGTTCCGGTCTCCTCCCAACATCTCCAGCACGTATCCTGGATTTCTGGTTTTCTGGCGTGAAGTGCTGTCGGTGTCAGGTACCATCTGGTAAATATCTAATACGAGTTTTCTTATGTGCGTGCCGAGCTCGGTGTTTTCTGAATCAGGGTCATGCTTTTATCCCAATCTGCTTCCGTCATCTGCTCCTCCAAGTCTTCTTCCCACTTTGGTGCTACGAGGTATCTGCTCATTATCAGGATAGTGTATATTTGTGAGATGGCTCGTGGCGGTTCCTTATCCTGTGTGCATAAGTTCTCGAATTGTGTTGGTTCCCTCGTGATTGCTGGTCGCTGCGGGATGGATCTGGCGTATTTGGTGATTTGGGCTCTTGCTAGGGTGTGGGCAAATGTGTGTGGTCTGCCTGGGTAGATGTCCGCCAATGGTCGGATTTCGAACAGGTGGCGGAGGACATCTTTCATGCGGGGTACCCCTGTCTGTCCCGGCCGGCCTGGTGTGGGGCCATATTCCCCTGCCGGGAAATCTGGGTTTCCCTTTAGGGGCAGGAGCGGGCTTGGGTCCGTTGTCAGGTAGTGTTTTGTGCCTTGTCCGTGCCATATTTGCATGGTTGCCGCCACAAACGGGTTGGTGATATGTTTGCTCCCGTATGTTGTTTTGGGGATCCATGGTAGGGTTCTGAGGTCGCATCCGGTCGTGTCCGCTTCTAGTTGTGTCCATGGTTTTGCGCCGCTGGCTACCGACCAGCAGACTACTCTGGCGATGTGTGCCGCGTAGTAGTACTTTTCAAAGTCGGGAAGTGCCAGGCCCCCCTTGAGCTTGGGCAGGATCAGTTGGGTATGTGCTATGCGTGGGGATTTGCCCTTCCAGATAAAAGTGCGAACTTCTGTCTTAAGTGTCGCAAAGAATGTTTGCGGGGCTCTTATCGGTATCGTTTGGAATATGAAAAGTAGCTTCGGTAATAGCGTCATTTTCACCACGTTCACTCTGCCCAGCCAAGACATGTAGTAAGAACCCCATCTACGTAGTTCCTCCTTTGCCTTTCGCAGTATCGTGAGGTAGTAATGCGTGTAGAGATCCCCCGCGTCTGATGTGAGCCAGACCCCTAAGTATTTCATTCGGCGGTCGCACAAGCGGTAAGGTTGTTGCCTCTGAATTGTTTGCTTGAGTGTGTTGCTGATATTTCTGTTCAGTATTTCCGATTTTGAGTAGTTTATTCGGAGGTTCGAGATGCGGCCGTATATGTCGAATTCCGTCTGTATCGCTCGTAGCGATTTTTCCGGGTCAGTAACCACGAACAGCATATCGTCTGCATATGCCAGGGTTTTGTGGTGCGTGTTTCCGACTGTCAGCCCTCGGACGTCCGTGTTCTGTCGGATCCTGCTCAGGAAGGGCTCCAACGTCAGCGCAAAGAGTATGGGTGAAAGCGGGCAGCCCTGTCTGGTTCCGTTGTGGATCTGGAATGGGTCTGTCAGTGCCCCGTTGATCCAAATTCGGGCCGTTGGGTCCGTGTAGAGCGCCTGTACCCAGGTCATGTAGTGTGGGCCTATGCCCAGGTGGCGGAGTGTTTCAAACATCAGATCCCAGTCCACCCTGTCGAACGCCTTCTCTGCGTCTGTGGACAGGAGCAGGACAGGGGTCTTCTGCCCTCTTGCATGTGCTATGAGGTTTAAGGCTCTGATTTTGTTGTCCTTCACCTCCCTCCCTGGGATAAAACCTGTTTGATCTGAATGGATTATGGTCGGCAGGAGTGGTGCCAGGCGTTATGCCAGTATGCTTGCCAGAAGTTTGAGGTCCGTATTCAGTATGGATATCGGGCGATAGCTTGGACACAGCGTCTTGTCTTTGTCTTCCTTTGGGAGAAGGGTGATGTTCGCCGAGGTGAATTGGGCTGTTGGTGTGGCTCCGTCTTGGATTGAGTTCAGGGCTTTCAGTAGTTTCGGTCATAGGTCCATTGCGAAGGTTTTATAGTATTGCAGGGGTAGGTCATCTGGGCCCGGAGCCCTGCCTGTTTTCGCTTTTTTGATGGCGTATGCCAATTCCTCGGGTGTTATGGGGGTCTCTAAGGCTTCCTGGTCCACCTCCTCTATTCCTGGTATATTTGCCGTGTCTAGGTATCTGCGTATGTCCTCAGCTCTTTGAGGCCTCTGAAGTTCTTGATCTGTTTCACGGAGGCGATATAGATCCTGGTAGTAATCGTGGAACGCTGTCGAGATCTGTTCCGGCAGGTGTCTGAGTTGTTGGTGTGCGTCTTTAATCTTCAGAATGTACAGTTGCTTCAGGAGGTTCGCCAGTAGTCTCCCACACTTGTCCCCGTGTTCATGGATCATATGTTTGTAGTGTTGGTATGAGCGTTGGATTGCGCGGTACAAGTGTGCGGTGAGTTGGTTCCGTTTAGTCGTGAGTTCCTCGTATACCGTCATGTCCATGGTGCATTTGTGTCTAGCCTCCAGTTCCCCGATTTCCTTACTGAGTACTTGTATCGTCTGTGTCGCCTTCTTTTTGCGGGTCGCGCATATCGCGATTGAATCTGCCTCTGATGACTGTTTTGTGTGCTTCCCAGCTTGTCAGTGGGGTGACGTCGTCTGTCTCGTTGTCTTTGAAGTAATCCTGTATGTGGTGGTTGATTTGGTCTACAACCGAGACGTCTGAAAGAATCGATTCGTTCAGTCGCCACGACATTTGTCTGGGTTTGTATAGTGGCGACTTAATCCGTATGCGGATTGGGCTGTGGTCTGACCAAGTCATTGGCAGGATTTCTGCCGCGGTGAGCAGGGCTAGGTCGCGGTGAGGTACTAGGAAATAATCGAGTCTTGTATATGTCGAGTGTGTTGTAGAATAAAAAGTATAATCTCGTGCAGTTGGGTGCAGTGCTCGCCAGCAGTCTGCCAGCTGGTGGAGGTGGAAGAGGCGGAGTGTGTTGGTGTGCCTGTTGATCGATATGTGTCCGCGTGCCGAGGTGGAGTCCTGGTCCGGGTTTATTGCCAGGTTGAGGTCTCCTCCTATGATCAGGGCGCCTTCCGTGAATTTCATCAGCGTGGTTAGTGTTCTTCGGAGGAAGTGGTGTTGTTTCATATTTGGGGTGTATATGTTGGCGAACGTGTATGTTTGGTCCATTATTTTGCCTTTTGTAAAAATATATCTGCCATGCTTGCATCGAACGGTGGCTTGCTCCTCATAAGGGACTCGTCGTGAGAAGAGGATGCAGACTCCCAGTGTGCGTCTATCTTGGTTGTGGCTGAAGTATCCCGTTGGGTAGTTGCGGTCTTTTAGAGCCGGTGCTCTGCCCTCCTGGAAGTGCGTTTCTTGGATGAACGCTATTGTTGCTTTGTAGTGTTTTAGGTCCCTTAGCAATCTTGTTCGTTTCTCCCTAACATTTAGGCCTCGCACATTGTAGGAAACTATGCATATGTCCTCTCTTGCGAAGCTGTTGGTTCTTGTGCCTGCATCCTCGCAGCGTCCCGGAGGGGCAACGGAGGCGGAGCGGGCGGGGTGGTTTATCTTTTGACATGTGGTTGTGGTGCACAATATATAGGTAGAACAGGTAGACAACTGAAGAAAAAGTTTTTAGAGCATATGAATAATATTAAGAAAAAACTCACTACACATTCGGTGCCTCTTCACTGTAACCTATGTCCTAAGTTCGATCGAAGGAATTTTCTTGTGTGGGAATAGAAAATGTAACACTGGATGAACGTGGTGGTGATCTTATTTTAAAATTAAGACAAAGAGAGGGTTTTTGGATTTACACTTTGAAAACCATGCAAACCAAAGGGCTGAATGTAGATGTTGACATGGTTTGTTTCCTATAAACCCTCTCTATGCTTTTTTGACGTAGGTTATACTCTTGGGTATTTTACGCTGTTGTGTGGGATGGATTTGGAGTCAAGTGTGTTTTAATTTTTGTTATTTAAAAAAAAAATTTAATATATACATCTTTTACTTTTATCTAGTTGTTTCACTTTATATATTCTTTCTTATATATGTTTGGATAACATTTTACATTTCAATACATTTGACTTTTATACAAATCAGTTCCCACAAGAGTTCTATAAGTGTACACATTCATTTTTTAAAGGGACACTATAGTCACCTGGACAACTTCAGCTTATTGAGGTTGTTCAGGTGAGATCTATAGCTCCCTGCAGCCTTTCTCATGTAAACACTGTATTTTTTGAGAAAATACAGTGTTTACATTGAAAGCTAGGAACTCCTCCAGTTGCAGTCACTCAGAGTGAACCAGAGGGACTTACGAGTTGATGGAGGCATAATATGCCTCCATCCACTCAGATCTGCTGTCAGCAGAGCACAGGGCAGCACTGTGCACAGCATCCTGTGATTCAGTATCTCCTCTCTGTCACGGCTGCTAGTGTGGTCCAACACGCAGAAACTATATAAACATATACATAAAAAAGGAAAGGAAATAAAAGGACAGAGCGTAAACCGGACCTTAGAATGGCTGGACTAATACGCTAGAGATAGAGAATGGTCAAAGGGAAAGCCGAAGTCAAGTAAGCCAGAAATACTCAGATACCGTTTAAACAAGCAAAGTCAGAGGAACCAGAATTCAGAATAACCAGGGAAAAGCCAAGATCAGGATACCAGGAAGTAATATTCACAAAGATAAACGCACTCTCGGGAACCATGAACAGGAAACCACGACAGGGCAAGGAACTGGAGTGAATTAGGGATTTAAATATTACTCTCTGGGCTCTGATTGGTGAGAGGGTGACCTCTGACCCCAGAACGTGCGCGTGTTGACGTCGTGACATCACGTCCGTATAAATTTGAGGGTCGGAGCTTGTGGTGTGCATGACCACGTGGTCAGCGCCATCTTTGATTTGGGTGCAACGCCCAGATCTCGCGGAGGTGCGGTTCCCGGCTCGCCAGCGAGCAAGTAAGCTCGCAATATCGGCGAGGTCGTGCCGGTTGGGCACGGCTGCGCCATGCGGCGGCCCGGGAGCCGCAACACTCCCTCTGCTTGCAGACACTGAACTTTCCTCATAGAGATTCATTGATTCAATTCATCTCTATGAGGAGATGCTGATTGGCCAGGGCTGTGTTTGAATCATGCTGGCTCTGCCCCTGATCTGCCTCTTTGTCAGTCTCAGCCAATTCCATGGGAAAGCATTGTGATTGGATCAGGCTACCACATGTCAGCAGACTGCTTGTTTTTCTGAGTCAAACAGCATGCAGAGTTACAGCTTCTGGCTTGAATACAGTAAGATTTTTGCTATATTTATGGAGGCATGAGGGGCTCAGGGGGGGCTAGATGGTGCTGTTAACACTATAGGGTCAGGAATACATGTTTGTGTTCCTGACCCTATAGTGATCCTTTAAATCTTTTCCTGGTCTGGGCTGCTATTTGTGAGCATTGAACAGGGTATTTTATGGATTTTGTGGACTTGTATTTTAACTGTGGACTCACATACGAATTTGGACGATATATGCTGAGCGCTGGTGTAATGCACTGTGGAACGCATGCGTTATTAAGCATGCGTTAAGGAAGTATGGAACTTCGCTCTTAAAAAGAACGTTCAGTGGGACGCACTGTGGACCACATGCGCACTGCGCATGAGCCAACCTCACGTATATGGAAGTAACTAGAAGCTTATTTTGAATAGATGGATTATGATGTACTTCACCTCCAATTGGCTGATGGCTATCGAAGGATGACGCTTTGGTGGTATAAAGTACAACAAGCCGTCAAATATGGTATACAGACGCTGGGAACCCCTGACGAAGTCCACGGACGGACGAAACGCGTAGGGTGGAGGAGCAGAACCTAGTGCTTGAGTACTTTTATTCCCTGATCAATCATGGCAGTATTTACTCATGGGTTAGCTCCTGCCCTTACAGAAGAAAGGACAGTAAATAGAACTCTGAAACTGGTATAAATAGATCCCATCAGACAGTCTTTTTTCCTGTCCTTCGCAGCAGTTTGGAAGGCGTCTGCTTATGCAGGCCTAGATTTTTTTTCTTTTATGCTCACCAGGCAATATTTTTTTAGGCCCTGCCAGGGTTCAGCCTCTAAGCCCTGAAGACCTAGCAATGCATTATTGTAAAAGTGGCTAGTCTGGGTACCCCCTTTAGTGACCGGGGGTCGGACCCAACCACTCCCTCAGGGGATGAAAATGGTCCACTGCATGCCAGGGTTCAGCCTCTTATCCCTGAAGACCCAGCAACAGGCCAGCTTGGGTACCCCCTCAGGGGATGTATGTGATATACTGCCTACATGAAGCCAGGCCAGGGTTTAGCCTCTTATCCCTGAAGACCCAGCAAACAGCACATCTGTAAGAGTCGCCAGCCTGGGTACCTACTTCAGCAACCAGGGGTCTGATCTATCTCTCTCTCTCTGAAGTGATGACAGTAGTCCACTGCATAAATGAGGCCCAGCTGAGTCTAAACCTTTACCCCTGAAGACCCAGCAAACAGCACATCTATAAGAGTTGCCTCCCTGGGTACCTCCTTGAGCTATCAGGAGTCTAACCTATCTCTCTCCCTGAGGGGATGACAGCAGTCCACTGCATACATGAGGCCCAGCCGAGTCTAAGCCTTTATCCCTGAAGACCCAGTATACAGCACTTCAAGTGTAATTATGTAAGTGTAATAAGGTGACTACCTGGGTATACCTATTCTATGTATTCCACCTTGTCTGGGGTTTGGTTAAACCTTATCACACTGGTGATGATGAATGGCATATGGGGTACAGATGGAAGCCTATGGTTCAGGCCTGCAGCTGTTCAGGTAAGTGTATTTGCAATTTAGATTAAAACTAATATAGGCACCTGGGTCTCTTTTCTTTCAGTCCCTCCCAGCTGCTTACATTAGGCTTCCTTCTAACAAATAGGTCACATTTAGGAAGTTTGTGTGGTGAGAATTTAGGTAAGTTTATACATGAAAGGATGCATTGTGCAAAAGAGTGCTGATAATGCAAGGATGCATTGTGCAAAAGAGTGCTGATAATGCAATGAGGCATTATGAATAGTGATGTCGCGAACCGTTTGCGAACTTGCCGCGAACGGTTCGTTGGGACCTGCCTTCAACATGGATGCTGTCCAGGAAGTAGGAGGGTCTGGGAGGGAGGGTCTGCCGGAGATTGGCAGAGATGTGTCAGCTGACCGGAGTTCGCCGCTAACGGTTTGTGGCGAACGGTTCGTGGCAAGTTCGCGAACGGTTCGCAACATCACTAATTATGAATAAAGAGTGCTGATAATGGATATCCTGGCTGTATAAAGTCTGCTGGAATTCCACAGTCCTGAAGACAGAGAAATATCCAAGGTAAGTGAACTTTCCTGGATAACTGATTGAAGTACACACATGTATATGACCGGTTTTAAAACCTAACTCTAAGTCCACACACACACTTGTTTCTATCAAGGCATTTGGCATTGATTGCTGTTATCTGTGCATTATCACAAATAAGCAG